CAGCGGGCGCGTGCGGCAGCAGCAGCAGCAGCAGCAGCAGCCGCAGCAGCAGCAGCAGGGATTGCACCCTGGCAGGCCTGCTTCCCCCCTTAGCCGCGCTGCCTCGAGTCCTCTCGCGCTGCCAATCCCCGCTGCTGCTGCTGCTGCTGCCGCTGCCCCTGCTGCTGCCGCCGCACGCGCCCGCTGCCGCTGCTGCACGCCCCTGCTGCTGCTGCTGCTGCTGCTGCTGCTGCTGCAGGATGAGTCTGGAGGAGGCGTTTCGCGTGTACACGAAGGGGGCGGCGGAAATGGACGGAAGGACCTTCGGGAAAATGCTGAAGGACTGTGGGGTGCTGAGCAGCAGCAAAATGACAGCAGTGGATGCAGATTTGATTTTTGCAAAAGTCAAAGACAAAGGCAGCAAAAAGATTTCTTTTCTCCAGTTCCAAGAGGCCCTCAAACTCGTCGCCGCCAAAAAGGGAATGGACCTCCAAACTCTCCAGCAGAAGCTCGCCGCAGGTCCGCGCTGTACAGACAGCTCTTTCGGGTGTATAGGCACCTCTTTCGGGTGTATGGGCAGCTCTTTCGGGTGTATGGGCAGCTTTTGGGGTGTATAGGCAGCTGTTTGGGGTGTATGGGCAGGTTTTGGGGTGTATAGGCAGCTCACGGGGTGTATAGGCAGCTCGCGGGGTGTATAGGCAGCTCTTTCGGGTGTATAGGCAGCTCGCGGGGTGTATAGGCAGCTGTTTGGGGTGTATGGGCAGGTTTTGGGGCGTATAGGCAGCTCGGTTGGGGTGTATAGGCAGCTGTTTGCGGTGTATAGGCAGCTGTTTGGGGTGTATGGGCAGCTGTTTGGGGTGTATGGGCAGCTCTGTTGGGGTGTATAGGCAGCTCTCGGGGTGTACAGGCAGCCCAGTTGGGGTGTATAGGCAGCTCTCCAGGTGTACAGACTGCCGGAAGAGAGCCCTCTGCGCGCTTTGAACGCCGTTTCCGCGCGCAAGCCTCCTCCCCTGCTGCTGCTGCTGCTGCTGCTGCTGCTGCTGCTGCTGCAGAGGGCAGCGAAGGGCCGATCCTGACGGGGACGAAGGCGGACAACGTGCGCTTCCACGACGACAAGAGTACGTACACCGGAGTGCACAAAATGGGGGGCCCCACGACGGTGGACGACGGGAGAGTTCAGTTTAATGATTTGTCGAAGTTTTGCGACAGATCAGAATACGACATTCGGGGAGTCAAGAAGGGCATTATCGAGAACAAAACGGGAGACAGCAAGTAGCAGCAGCAGCAGCTGCTGCTGCTGCGGCTGCTGCAGCTCGAGCGGCTGCGGCAGCTGCTCTGGCTGCAGCGGCGGGGCTGCTGCTGCAGCGGGCGTTGCTGCTGCTGCAGCAGCGGCTGTTGCTGTTCGGCTGCTGCTGCTGCAGCAGGAGGCGGCCCGTGGGCTTCGCGGGAGGGCAGGAGGGGCGGGGCAGCAGCTAGTGGAGGGAGTTGCGGCAGCGGCGGCGGACTGCTGCTGCTGCTGCTGATGCTGCTGCTGCTGCTGCTGCTGGCGCCGCGCTGCAGCAGCAGCAAGTTCTGCTGTTGCTGCTGCTGGTGCTGCTGCTCCCACTTTCTTGGCAGCGTGACTTCGACAAGATTTGTGCTTTCTGTCCAGACACCTCAGCGACAGAACAACTCTTGAATTTGAAATTGAATTCAATGCAGTTTCTTCCCAACACATTTTGCCTTTTCCTGCGAAATAAGTGTTAAACAAGGGTTTAGGGTTTAGGGTTTAGGGTTTGGGGTTTTGGCGAGTGCTTGCGGGGGTTCTTGGTGCTGCATTGCAGCTTTCTGTTGAGTCTCGATTTGATGGAGTATAGCGGGATCATCCAGTGCTTACCTCTTTGCTTGTCTCGAGAATAATTTGAAGAAATAAAATGATTCAAATTAAGGTCGGCAACGCAAATCCCGATTTTTTGAACGGGAGGCTTTTCTTGGGAATGGAAGAGGTCTTGATGGGTGGAATGCGGCGGGATCTGGCGTTCCTTTGGAGGAAATTGAGCGTGAATTAGTTTATAAATCATAAAACTCGGAGAGAAAAACCTAAAAAGAAAAAGAGAAATAAAAATGAGGTAAAAAGGAATAAAATTACAGAAGTGAACACGCGTGCAAGAAAGCTGTATGTAGTGTATGTACACCTGAACACGTTTCGGCTGCGGTTGTGTAGAGCCGTGCGAAATGGATGTTTGGCTTCACTTTTGAGGCATTTAGAGCCGCTGAAAAGGGCGAAACATCTGGAATTTTGAATAATCATTGTTCTTTTGTTCTAATGAAATGAAAATGAGCAAAAGAACTGGTTTTTTGCTTGTTCTTTTCCGAAAGTTCAACTTCAGTTGGCGTGCTCCCTCTGCCAGGCAAATCGGCTGCGGCGCCCGCGGTCCACTGCAACAAATACCGGATCAGAGGCTCTTTAGTGGCGCTAATATTGAAAAGAATAAAGTTCTTTTATTTTGAACTCAAACGAATGCAAAAGCTCCAGAGAAAAAGGCAATTTCGATCCTTTTCTTGAAGTCCATCTGCTGCCTCTCCCGATGCTGTGCTCGGGAGCCTACAGCAGCTGATCTGCAAGAAGAAGGCACCTTTTTCTTCTGCATTTTCTGAATTTTATTTATTTATTTGAAATAAAGTGAAATTCACTTAAGCGAAACAAATTCTTTCGCCAAAGACCTGAGTTCTGACTTGCCCGGGCTCCCGCCGCCGCCAGAATGCCCTAGCGACAGCGCGGCCTCTTTTGCGACATTTTTTCCCGTTTTTTTTCAATCTTTTCAAAATGAAGTCCATTTTAGGGTTTTTACCCCTCCTGTGTCTCATTTGGGCCCCTGCACCGCGCAGTAGCGCAGCAGCAGCGCAGCAGCAGCAGCAGCAGCAGCAGCAGCAGCAGCGGCTGTCTTTCCTGCATGCCAGGCGCGAGCGACCCAGGGGCCCCCAGAGGCCCCCCGAGAGGCCCCTCGAGCCTCACCAGCTCTTCCAGAGGCCCCAAAGAAGGGTAAGGGGGGGGGGGCCCCTGCAGCAGCAGCGGCGGGGGCAGCAGCGGCAGCCTGCGAGAGTGGTGCAAAGGGCCCCTGCTGCTGCTGCTGCTGCTGCTCCTGCTGCTGCTGCTGCTGCGGGCAGACGCCGGCAGCTCGGGCGCGCAAGGGCCCCCGAGACCCCAGTGCCACTGGGGCCCCAGCAGGGGCCCTATGGGCCCCTCAGGGGGCCCCTCAGGGGCCCCTATGGGTACCGGGGGGGCCCCCAAGGACCCCTCTGGGGGCCCTCTGAGTACCGCTTGCAGCAGCAGGTTCCTGCTGCTGCTGCTGCTGTCCCCGTTGAGCAGCAGCTGCTGCCATCTGAACCGGAGGGCCCTGCGCGCGAGCAGCCAGCAGGAGCAGCAGCAGCAGCAGCAGCAGCGCCTTTCGCTGCTGCCCCTGCTGCTGCTCCTGCCGCAGCAGCAGCTGCTGCTGCTGCCTGGCAGACTGAGGCGGTGCTGCAGGAGCTGTCTGCTGCTGCGTCGCAGCTGCTGCGGCTGCCGGGCCGCGAAGCAGAAACCGAACCCGCAGCAGCAGCAGCAGCAGCAGCAGCAGCAAGCCTGCGGGCGCTGCAGCACTTGGCGCTGCCGGACTTGAGCAGCCCCACACTTTCTGCTGCAGCAACTCTGACTTTTGCTGAAGTTTCTTCTGTCCCCGAGAAGCATTTGCTGCTGCGAAAAGTACCCTTTTATAATCGGGGGCCCCTCCACCAGGGGCCCCTTGCTGCAGCATTTGAGTTGGAGGCTGCGGGGGCCCCCCTGAGTACCCTTTACGGGGGCCCCCTGCACCTGCGGCTGCCCTTTGGGCCGCTGCTGCTGCTGCAGCGCAGCAGCAGCAGCACGGAAGAGCCCCCCGGGCTTCCTGCTGCAGTGCTGGCAGCAGCAGCAGCAGCAGAACAGCACACGCAGCGGGCGCTGCGGCTGCTGCAGCGGCTGCAGCTTCGTGCAGCAGCAGCAGGGGTCCCTGCAGCAGCAGCAGCAGCAGCTTCCGCGCTGCTGCTGCCGCTTTTTGCTGCTGAAGTCTCCAGATTTTCCCAAAACTTTGCATGGACAAAACTTTTTGTCTTTTCTCCGCATGCAACTTTAACTCCTTCTTTTGCATGCACTTTGCATGCGCTTTTGGGGCTGCCAGCCCCAAAAGGGCCCCACAAACCCCACACTGCAGCAGCACCGCTGCATGCACTGCCTTTGCATGCGCATGCAAGTACCCAGGGGCCCCTTTCGGGGGCCCCCCTGGCCGGCCAGGGGCCCCCGGGGGCCCTCCCACTTCCTGAAGAGTCTGAAGAGGGGGCCCCCGTGCTGCTGTCAGCAGCAGCAAGAGAGCATGCAGCGCTGCGGCTGCTGCATGCAGTTTCGCAGCTGCATGCACTGGGGCTTTCTTTTGGGGCTTTGTCTTTGGAGTCTGCTGTAGTGACACCTCGGGGAGAAGTTTATCTTTCCGATCTGGAGGCCACTCTAGCAGCAGGAGACAGAGTGCCCTGCGCAGCAGCAACAGCAGCAGCAGCAGCAGCAGCAGGGACTGCAGCAGCAGCGCCGCTCTGCGTCCTCGAGCAGCAGCAGCTGCAGCAGCAAATCCGGCACGAGTCCCTGCAGCTGGCTTTTCTTATTTTCCAAGTTTTGACTCATGGCCAAATGCCTTTTGGTTTAGAAAGGGATTTAACTCCCACTGAGGCCTTGCAGGCGCTGCAGCAGCAGCAGCAGCAGCAGCAAGAGCAGCAGCAGCAGCAAGAGCAGCAGCAGGAGCAGGAACAGGAGCAACAGGAGCAGCAACGGGAGCAGCAGTCGGAAGAGGAGCAGCAGCAGCAGCAACCGCAGCTGCTGCAGCTGCAGCAGGTGCTGCTACCGCAGCCGGCGCAACCACTGCAGCAGCAGCAGCAGGTGCTGGAGCAGCAACAGCAGATGCAGCTGCAGCAGCAGGTGCAGCAGCAGCAGGTGCAGCAGCAGCAGGAGGTGCAGCAGCAGCAGCTGCTGCTGCAGGAGCAGGAACGGGTGGCGGAGCAGCAGCAAGAGGCGCTGCAGCGGCAGCAGCAGCAGCAGCAGCAGCTGCTGCTGCAGCAAGGAGACCTTTGCCAGTTCGCAGGAGTGTCTCCTGAAACTCTTGCTGCTGCAGTCAAGACACAAGACACGGGGGGCCCCGCGGGGGGCCCCTCGGGGGGCCCCTCGGGGGGCCCCCCGGAGGGCCCCTGGGTACAGTGTCTGCTGTCTTTGTTGGGGTGTGGGGCCCCACAGTTGACAGCAGTGGAAGCTGTTGAAGTTTATTTTCCTCAAGTTCTTTTATTTAAATAAAACACAAACTATTTATTTAGTTATTTAAATTCAAATTCTTTCTTTTGTTTATCTAAATCAATTTCCATATTCTCTCCTTTGGGGCTGCATGCGCTCTTTGCTGCTGCTCGTGGAGCCGCTGGAAGCTGCAAGACACGCGACAGCAGCAGCAGCAGCAGCAGCAGCAGGTGCTGCTGCTGCTGCAGAGCTGTAGCTGCTGCGTTTACCCACGACTCGTGTTGCTGCTGCATTGGCTAGTTTGTTGCAGGGCCTCAACATATTAAATAAATAAATAAATTTATTTTAGTTAATTAAATTAATTAATTTGATTAATTTAATTAATTTAATTATTGTTTGTTTGTTTATTTGTTCATTATTTGAAGCTGCAGCAGCAGCAGCAGCAGCAGGGCTTCTGCTGCTGTCAGCATGCTGCTGCAGGCATTTGGGGCTATGTCTCCTTGAGCAGCAAAGAGACACTTCAGCAGCAGCAGCAGCAGCAGCAGCAGCTCGCTCGCAACAACTGCCTGAAACCCTAAACCCTAAACCCTAAACCCTAAACCCTAGAATGTAAGAAAGAGCCGAAAGCTCCGAAAGGAGACAAAGAGACAAAAGGGCCTAAGCGAGCTGTACAGACACCGCGGCAAACAGCAGCTGTCTCTTTACTTTTTCCGTTTAGGGTTTAGGGTTTAGGGCTTAGGGTTTAGGGTTTCCTTTGTTTATTCGTAACAAAGCTCAAAGAAAAGCAGCGAACGCAGCAGCAACAAGACACGCTGCTGCTGTTTGCTGCAACAAGGCAAGCTGCTGCTGCCTGCTGCTGTTTGCTGCAGCAAAAGACGCTGCTGCAGCAAGAGAAGCTGCTGCAGCTTGCTGCACCCTGCTGCAGCTTGCTGCAGCTTGCTGCAGCTTGCTGCTGTTGCTGCCGCTGCAGCTTGCTGCTGCCGCTGCAGCAGCAGCAGCAGCAGCAGCAGCAAAAGGACTTAGAAGGCTCGTGAGCGAGTGCTTTTTGCATGCAGCAAATTGGAATTGAAGCAGCAGCAAAAGAAAGGGAAAAAAATAAAGAAAAGAAATAAAGAAAAATAAAAAAAAGAATTATTGCAAATAAAGAGAAGTTGCAAAAACTATGTCTCTTCGAATTCTGTTCGAAGCCTCCAAAACTGCAGCAGCTAATTTGCTGTCGCCGCTCAAGTTCATCGCCTGGCCCAACTGCACTCAAACACATTTTTTTATTTATTATTTATTTATTTATTTATTTATTTGTTTATTTGTTTGTTTGTTTATTTATTTATTATATTCTTTATTGTTTTATTTATTTATTTGTTTCTTTATTTGTTTATTTATTTGTTCGTTTTATTTATTTGTGTATATATTATTTGTTTATTTTATTTATTTGTTTATTCTATTTTATTTGGTTAGTTAATTAATTAATTAATTAATTATTTGTTTAATTAGCTATTTGTCTAACTAGTTATTTAATCAATTAGTTATTTAATTAATTAGTTATTTATTTCAACTAAAACGAGATAACTAAAAAAAAAGAGACAAAAAAGGGCGGCTAGAGAGAGCCAATGAGACACAGTATAACCCTAAACCCTAAACCCTAAACCCTAAAGCCTAAACCCTAAACCCTAAACCCTTAAAGCGGAGTCCTTCACTTGCCTTTCGCAGCAGTTCGTCGAGACGCAAAAGATTCCTCACAACAGACCCCTCCTGCAGAAAAGCCATCCCAAACCCTAAACCCTGAACCCTAAACCCTAAACCCCAAGTCCTAAACCCTAAACCCTAAACCCTAAACCCTAAACGCACCTGCAGGCTGGTTAGCCGCATGACATCCACAAAGGGCAGACCTCGAGCCCACTCGTACGCCACCTGCACAAAAAAGTGAGTCTAAACCCTAAACCCTAAACCCTAAACCCTAAACCCTAGACTCTGAAGCGAGCAAATTCGAAGCTGCAAAATCTCCACCAGTCCTCGTCCGCCCAAACCCGAAACCCTAAACCCCAAACCTTAAACCCTAAACCCTAAACCCTAAACCCTAAACCCTAAACCCTCACGAGAGCCATGTCGAAGTTGCAGAGTTTCCACCAGTCTTCGTCGGCCACTGCAAGTCCCTCTTGTCTTTGAGCAGCAAGAATTTCCAAGTGGATTGTCTCTGCCTAAAGAGCCAAATTAAATTAAATTAAATTAATTAAATTAAATTAATCAAATTAATTAAATTAAATTAATTTAATTCAATGTTTACAAACTGCTGCTGCTGCGGGTGCTGCTGTTGCTGCTGCTGCTACTGTTGCTGCTGCTGCCTCTACTGTGCTCTTCCTGCTGCTGCTACTGCTGCTGCTGCTACTGTACTTGCTGCTGCCACTGCTACTGCTGCTGCTGCTGCTGCAGCAGCTACTACACTCCTACTACCGCTGCTGCTGCTGCTGCTGCAGCTGCTACCACCACTAAGACTGCTACAATCCCCGCTGCTGCCGCTGCTGCTGCAGCTACTACTGCTGCTCCTGCTACTACACTTCTGCTACCGCTGCTGCTGCCGCTGCTGCTGCTGCTGCTGCCGCTGCTGCTGCTGCTGCTGCTGCAGCAGACCATGGCTCTGGCGTTTTGGAGGCCTGTGGTGGGGGCTGGAGTTTCTTCTCTTTGTTTGTCTCCGCCCACAAATGCACTCAACACCCCCGCTATCTCGCAGGGGGTCAAATCCTGAAAATAAAATATTTCATTCAATAAATAAATAAATAAATAAATAAATAAATAATAAATAATTAATTAGTTAACTGCTTAATTATTAATTAATTGATGTATTTATCTATTAATTAAGTAGTTAATTAATCGATCAATTAATTAGTGAATTAATTAACTAATTAACTAATTCTCTAGTCAATTAATTAATTAATTAATTAATTAATTAAGTAGTTAATTGGTTAATGAGTTGGTTAGTTAATAAGTTGATTAGTTAGTCAGTTTAGTTTAATTGATTAATTGGTTAATTGGTTTATTTTATTAATTCTTTAATTAGTTTAGTTAGTTAATTGGTGGATTTGTTAGTTGTTGAATTGGTTAATTAATTAGTTAGTGGGCTTATTAAACAAATAAATAAATAAATAAATAAATAAATAGTAAACAAGTAATAAGAGTAACGGATATATAAACAAATAAGTAAAAGGTAAGTATTGAATAATTTGTAAATCAACAAACAAATTAAAAAAGATATGGTGGAAACAGAAAAAATAGAAGAAAAAACGAAAGGCGGGTCGGGTGTACGTACACCTCGGCGCATGCAGAAACAAAAAGGAGACAAAAAGTAAAAAGGGAAAAACAATTAAAGAAATAAATAAAAATAAATAAATAAAAAGAAATAAATAAAAAGAAAGAAATAAAAGGAGACAATAAAAGGAATTAGAAGGAATGAAATGAAAACTTAATTTTTTTGAAAAAAGAAATGAAACAAATTAGAAAATACAAAGTAAACTAAAATTAAAAATGAAAAAACAAAAAGAGACAAAAAGAGACACAAAAGGAATGAACTAATGGAACAAAATAAAACAAAATCAGATTAAAATAAATCAAATTAAATTAAATTGAATTAAATTAAATTAAATCAAATCGAATCGAATCAAATCAAATCAAATTGAATTAAATTGATTAAATTATATTAAATCAAATCAAATCAATTAAATTAAATTAATTAATTAGTTAAATTAAATTAACAAAAAGACAAGACAGAAAGAGATTTTACTTTGAGTCCATTTCTGAAAACAAACTCCACCAGAGTCAATTCGTCTCCAGATATCACTTGGCAAGCCACCCTTCCCTGAAATAAATAAATAAATAAATAAATTAATTAATTAATTAATGAAAAAAAATAAATAATAAATAAATAAATAAATAAATAAATAAATAATAAGTGAGCGAAAGAAATGAATGAAATGGAGCAAAAATGGGACAAATAACTATCATGACCAACTGGTGCTGCTGCTGCTGCTGCTGCTCTTCCTGCTGCTGCTGCTAATAATATTGCTACTGTTGTTGTTGCTGCTGCTGCTGCTATTGCTGTTGCTGCTGCTGCTGCTATTGCTGCTGCTGCTGCTGCTATTGCTGCTGCTGCTGCTCCACCTCTCGCAGCGGCACGAGCACCAGCAGCACCAGCAGCAACTGCTGCTGCTGCTGCTGCTGCTGCTGCTGCTGCTGCTGCTGGTTTACTTTAAGAGTGGGAGTTCCTTCGGAATGGACAAATCCAAATTTGTTTAAAACTCTTTGGCGCGCGAGAAGGTCCGGATACAGCTCGAGCGAGCGCGCAGTCAGCGCCTCCGCCAGTTTCCTTTGTTCCTTTTCCAACTAAATAAATAAATAAATAAATAAATAAATAAATAGACAAATATAATTAGTTAATTAATTAATTAAAAGGAAAAAGTGGAAAAGAAGCAGAGCTGCAGCTCCAGGAAGCAGGCGCTGAGGGGGCGGCGGCGCTGCAGCGCGCCCGAGGGTTTAGGGTTTAGGGTTTAGGGTTTAGGGTTTGCCTGGAGCTGCTTGTTGGCTTGCTGGAGGTGTTTGGGCCGCAGCTGGCAGCTGCTGCAGGGGTTGCTGCTGAGCTGCCGCTGCGCCTCGCTGAACTGCAGCAGCGGCTCAATAAAGTCCAAGTTTATTTTTGCTGCTTCGAAGGAGAGACAAGCAGCAGCAGCTCCTGCTGCCACGCTCCGCGCCAGTTCCTACAGCAGCAGCAGCAGCAGCAGCAGCAGCAGCAGCGGCGGCAGCAGCAGGAATTGTATCCTTCTGTGGCCGCCGCGGCGCCCGCCCCACTCTCGCGCTCCAGCCGCAGCAGCAGCAGCAGCAGCAGCAGCAGCTACAGCAGCAGCAGCAGCAGCAGCATACCGTGGCGAGGGCGTTGCAGCAAACTGGATCAGCAGCATCAAACTCAAGTCCCTTTATCTTCGCCTCCGAAACTTGTTGAAAATTATTTAAACTGACTCCCCGCAGCACTGCCCACTCTTGGGGGCCCCCGGGGGCCCCCAGACCCAAGTCCTCCACATCAGGGGGGCCCCCCAGGGGGCCCCCCAGGGGGGCCCCCTCAGAGGGGCCCCCAGGGGGGCCCCCCAGGGGGGGCCCCCAAGAAGAGTCCGAGGGGGCCCCTGTGCAAATAAGACCTTTAAGGGTTATGGTGCCGTTGGTGAGGGGTGGAGGAGAATCTGAGAAGTTTAAAAAGAAATTAAAAAGAAGTAAAAACGAAATAAAATAAAATAAAATGAAATGAAATGAAGTGAAATAAAATAAATAAAAAGATAAAAAGAGTTGGAAGAAAATAAACAGACACAAAAAACAAAGTCAAGAAGTCAGAAAACGAAGCGGTAGCTCGCGCGAAGCAGCCAAGAAGATCTAGGGTTTAGGGTTTAGGGTTTAGGGTTTGACCTTTCTTTGTTTTTGGCCTTGGGTCCTCCAAAGAAGAGACAGAAAACCCCGAAGGAAATAAAACGAGGAGACAGAAGGTGGGAGCCTCTGCGGTGTACGTACACCCCAGCACCAAACCCCACACTATGCAAATTGGGATTACAAATAAATCAAAATAAAACTTAATTCATTTTAATTCGTTTTAATTCATTTTCAATTTGTTTTTGTCTGTTTTTAATTTGTTTTATTCAAGTTCCAGTAATTGCGCCTCAAGGCCTCGGGTTTGAACTGAAAACGCGCAGCCTCCGAGGGCTTAGGGTTTAGGGTTTCGCGTCTTACAGCCTGCGGCCCAGGCTCAGGGTTTAGGGTTTAGGGTCTAGGGTTTACCTCCCTGAACTAATGGGACAAAGCCTATGCTTAGGATCAGGGTTTAGGGTTTAGGGTTTAGGGTTTAGGGTTTACCTCCCTGAACCAAAGGGACAAAGTCGATGTTTATAATTGCTGCTGGAAGGGCCTCCAGCAGCAGCGGGGAAATGGAGTGTACGTACACCACACGGCCCGCAGCAAACACCGAAGAAGAGGCCTGGCGGTTTTGCCAAACAGTTCTGCAAATAAATAAATTAATTAATTAAATAATAAATAAATAAATTAATAACAAATAAATGAATAAATAAATAAATGTGTTTGTTGTTGGTTGTTATTTGGCGTTTTGCAAAGTTTATGCGCGGGGGTAGTCGAAGCAAAGCAGCAGCAGCAGCAGCAGCAACAGCAGCAGCAGCAGCAGCAGCGGCAAGCTCAAGTGCAGCAGCAGCAGCAGCAGTAGCTGCTGCCGCTCTTTGGGCGTTGCTGCTGTTGCGGCCGTCGCTAGTACTACCACTCTGCTGTTGCTGCTGCTGCTGTTGCTTCTGCTGCTGCTGCTACTGCTGCTGCTGCTGCTGCTACTGCTGCTGCTGCTGCTGCTTACAGGTAAACCTTTTGCGCTATTTTTCTCAGTTTAATTTGCGTTTCTGCATATTCTCTAATTGTGGGTTTTCCAAAGACACAGTCAATTGGAGGCATAGAAGCAAGGGCCTGAAACACCCACAGAACCCTAAACCCTAAACCCTAAACCCTAAACCCTAAGCGTTAACCCCAAACCCCAAAGCCTAAACCCTAAACCCTAAACCCTGAGCCACAAGGCGCAAACCCTAGCAGCTGGAGCTCTGCGTGTGAAGTGTCTGGCGCGCGCGCGTGTGCGGGGTTGGCTGCGGGCTGAGGGTTTAGGGTTTAGGGTTTAGGGTTTGCCTTTTGGCAGCGGCGGAGGTCGCGTTTGAGGACAGGTCTTTGCGTGGTTTTTGCTGCTTCGCGGAAGCTGCTGCGAATTAGGGTTTCGATGGAAAGCGAGTTTGCTGCTGCATGCAGCAGCAGCAAAGTTTGGTAGGAAAGCCGGAAGCGCGAGCACAGCGGCTGCGCCCGCTCCACCATCATTGTCGTCAGGTCCTGCGCAATTAATTAATTAATTAATTAATTAATTAAATCAATTAATTAATTTAATTCATTAATTAATTGGTAGTTAAAGTCGGGAAATTAATTCGAGTATTCGCCGGTTTTCGCCGGCGCGCTGCTGCTCCTGCAGCAGCAGCAGCAGCAGCAGCAGCAGCAGAAGCAGCAGCAGCAACAAAAAAAGCGGCAGCAGCAGCAGATTTACCTTTGGTGAGGGCACTTCCTCTGGGGCGAAGATGTAGACATTGCCGCAAGTGTCTAAACCCCTGCGGCCGGCCCTCCCCGCCATCTGCAGCAGCAGCAGCAGCAGCAACAGCAGCAGCAGCAACAGCAGCAGCAGCAAATTTTGCATATTTGTATTGATTATTTGAATTTCTTTTTTATTATTAAAAGCTGCAAAAACACCTAACCAGATTTACCTTTATATCCACTTATTACTTAAAGCTGCAAATGCATATGAAGACAAATAAATAAATAAATAAATAAATAAATAAATAAAAATAAGTAAATAAACATATATATAAAAATAAAAATAAAAATAAAAATAAATAAAATTAATAGATCTTTACTTATTGTAAAATCCAAAGAACAAAAAACGCAAATTCTGCTTTCTACCAGGCTTTGCACGGCACAAACCCTAGAACCCTAAGGCCAAACCCTAAACCCTAAGCCCTAAACCCTAAACCCTAAGCCCTAAACCCTAAACCCTAAGCCCTAAACCCTACACACGAAGGACTAGGCCGCGCACCTCGCACACCGCACCGTGCGGTGTGAGCCCCAACCCCCAAACCCTAAACCCTAAACCCCAACCCCCAAACACTAAACCCTAAACCCTAAACCCTAAACCCTAAACCCTAAACCCTCACCTGCGTATACTCTGCTGCGTGGAGAGGCCTGAGGCGCTCTCCGTCGGGTTTTTTGATGTCCGTGAAAACCACCGTTCGAGCCGGGAGGTTTAGACCAACAGCTAGGGTTTCTGTTGCAAACAAAACCCTAATTAGTCCCCGTTGAAACAATATCTCCATCTGCCCGCAAACCCTAAACCCTAAACCCTAAAACCCTGAACCCTAAACCCTAAACCCTAAACCCTGAACCCTAAACCCTAAACCCTAAACCCTGAACCCGCTGGACGCCGCTGCCGCACACGCTCCCCTGTCGCAACTCTGGACCACAGCCCCGAAGCGCTAAACCCCAGCGAACACACCCCAAACCCTAAACCCTAAACCCTAAACCCTAAACCCTAAACCCTAAACCCTAAACCGTTTACCATTTCTTTAATTAGCGGCAAAAGACCTCCGTGGTGAACCCCAATTCCTCTTTGCGCCAATTTGACTGCAAAGTCGATTTGCTTCAGTTCTCTGTCTTCAGGAGTTAGTCTTTTTAAACACTCCTAAACCACAAACCCTAAACCCTAAACCCTAAACGCTAAACCCTAAACCCTAAACCCTTGAAGTGCAGCGCGGAGAGAACGCCGCGGCGTGGGGGCACCGCGAAGCCGTGCAGCGGCATCCCCCTCGACTGTTTGAGGCCCTACAATTTAGGGTTTAGGGTTTAGGGTTTAGAGCTTGTTCCCCAAATTCTGAACCCTAGACCCTAAAACTTAAACCCTCGACACCCCCAAACCCTATAAACCTCCCCCTTCACCAAAGCCGCCCAGGAGACCCGCACCAGGCCCCACTCCCGCCCTACAATTCCGCCTAGGGTTTAGGGTTTAGGGTTTAGGGTTTGGGGACCCAGAAGACCCGGCAGCAAAACGAGACACTCTTCCCTAACCACTCCCTTTCTGCATCACTTCCAAACCCGGACTCTAGCGTTTAGCACTGAGCACTAAGAAACTCGAATCTAGGGTTTAGGGTCTGGAAATCAGGGTTTATGGCTTAGGGTTTAGGGTTTGCCTTGGTGAAGAGGTGGATCTTGCTGCGGTGGAGCTGCGAAGAAGTCAAGTCGAGGGCTTAGGGTCTAGAAAGCAGGGCGTAGAGTTTAGGGTTTAGGGTTTAGGGTTTAGGGTTTAGGGTTTGCCTTGGTGAAGAGGTGGATCTTGCTGCGGTGGAGCTGCGAAGAAGTCAAGTCGAGGGCTTAGGGTCTAGAAAGCAGGGCGTAGAGTTTAGGGTTTAGGGTTTAGGGTTTAGGGTTTAGGGTTTGCCTTGGTGAAGAGGTGGATCTTGCTGCGGTGGAGCTGCGAAGAAGTCAAGTCGAGGGCTTAGGGTCTAGAAAGCAGGGCGTAGAGTTTAGGGTTTAGGGCTTAGGGTTTAGGGTTTAGGGTTTAGGGTTTAGGGTTTAGGGTTTGCCTTGGTGAAGAGGTGGATCTTGCTGCGGTGGAGCTGCGAAGAAGTCAAGTCGAGGGCTTAGGGTCTAGAAAGCAGGGCGTAGAGTTTAGGGTTTAGGGTTTAGGGTTTAGGGTTTAGGGTTTGCCTTGGTGAAGAGGTGGATCTTGCTGCGGTGGAGCTGCGAAGAAGTCAAGTCGAGGGCTTAGGGTCTAGAAAGCAGGGCGTAGAGTTTAGGGTTTAGGGTTTAGGGTTTAGGGTTTAGGGTTTGCCTTGGTGAAGAGGTGGATCTTGCTGCGGTGGAGCTGCGAAGAAGTCAAGTCGAGGGCTTAGGGTCTAGAAAGCAGGGCGTAGAGTTTAGGGTTTAGGGTTTAGGGTTTAGGGTTTAGGGTTTGCCTTGGTGAAGAGGTGGATCTTGCTGCGGTGGAGCTGCGAAGAAGTCAAGTCGAGGGCTTAGGGTCTAGAAAGCAGGGCGTAGAGTTTAGGGTTTAGGGCTTAGGGTTTAGGGTTTAGGGTTTAGGGTTTAGGGTTTAGGGTTTGCCTTGGTGAAGAGGTGGATCTTGCTGCGGTGGAGCTGCGAAGAAGTCAAGTCGAGGGCTTAGGGTCTAGAAAGCAGGGCGGAGAGTTTAGGGTTTAGGGTTTAGGGTTTAGGGTTTAGGGTTTGCCTTGGTGAAGAGGTGGATCTTGCTGCGGTGGAGCTGCGAAGAAGTCAAGTCGAGGGCTTAGGGTCTAGAAAGCAGGGCGTAGAGTTTAGGGTTTAGGGTTTAGGGTTTAGGGTTTAGGGTTTAGGGTTTAGGGTTTGCCTTGGTGAAGAGGTGGATCTTGCTGCGGTGGAGCTGCGAAGAAGTCAAGTCGAGGGCTTAGGGTCTAGAAAGCAGGGCGTAGAGTTTAGGGTTTAGGGCTTAGGGTTTAGGGTTTAGGGTTTAGGGTTTAGGGTTTAGGGTTTAGGGTTTAGGGTTTAGGGTTTGCCTTGGTGAAGAGGTGGATCTTGCTGCGGTGGAGCTGCGAAGAAGTCAAGTCGAGGGCTTAGGGTCTAGAAAGCAGGGCGTAGAGTTTAGGGTTTAGGGTTTAGGGTTTAGGGTTTAGGGTTTGCCTTGGTGAAGAGGTGGATCTCGCTGCGGTGGAGCTGCGAAGAAGTCAAGTCGAGGGCTTAGGGTCTAGAAAGCAGGGCGTAGAGTTTAGGGTTTAGGGCTTAGGGTTTAGGGTTTAGGGTTTAGGGTTTAGGGTTTAGGGTTTGCCTTGGTGAAGAGGTGGATCTTGCTGCGGTGGAGCTGCGAAGAAGTCAAGTCGAGGGCTTAGGGTCTAGAAAGCAGGGCGTAGAGTTTAGGGTTTAGGGTTTAGGGTTTAGGGTTTAGGGTTTGCCTTGGTGAAGAGGTGGATCTTGCTGCGGTGGAGCTGCGAAGAAGTCAAGTCGAGGGCTTAGGGTCTAGAAAGCAGGGCGTAGAGTTTAGGGTTTAGGGTTTAGGGTTTAGGGTGTAGGGTTTAGGGTTTAGGGTTTAGGGTTTGCCTTGGTGAAGAGGTGGATCTTGCTGCGGTGGAGCTGCGAAGAAGTCAAGTCGAGGGCTTAGGGTCTAGAAAACAGGGCGTAGAGTTTAGGGTTTA